TTGCTCATGCATGCTTCTCTTATGGCTTTTTTCAAGTTCACGAACTATTCACTTTCAGTCTCCTTTACTCTGTTTTTTTAGTTACACTCTGATATTGTCTTGATTTTACGCTTGTTTTGCAATATATTCTGTTTTCAAACAACTTTATTGCATGCTATTGTGTTTACTCTATTTTATTACAAAAGAGACTCTGTTATGTTTGATCAAAATGTTACTGTTACATGTTCTAGATCAAGAACCATGGTGTACAAGAAGAAACAATCAAAAGAATGATGAATGTGGCGAGAGAGTTTTTCCATCAACCGGAGAGCGAAAGAGTGAAGCATTACTCTGCAGATACAAAAAGACAATGAGACTCTCCACTAGTTTCAATGTTTGCACAGAGAAAGTCTCTAACTGGGAAGACTACCTTCGACTCCATTGCTAGCCTATCAAAGAATTCATCAACTGATGGCCCTCAACTCCAATCTTTTTCAGCGAAGTCACAGCTGAATACGCCACAAACATTAATGCCTTGGTTCTGACACTTATTGAGGCAATCTTAGAGAGCTTAGGCCTTCTGAAAGACCGTGAAAGCAATAAACTTGGCAAACATTGTCAACACATGGCCATAAACTAGTATTCGCCGTGTCCTCAACCGGAGCTAACTTACGGACTTCCGACACATAAAGATTCAATTTTGATCATTGTTCTTCTTCAAGACGAAGTCTCTGGTTTACAGGTGTTTAAAGATGGTAAATGGGTTGTTGTTCATTCTGTTCCCAACACATTTATAGTCAATCTTGGTGACCAAATGCATGTAATTCTAGGACACAAATTGAAAAATTCCTTTGTTTTGTTCACTCTCTTTGTGCTAAGTTTATGTGCTTGTTTCTCCTCTTAGGTGATAAGCAATGACAAATACAAGTGTGCTACACTGTGCGGTTGTAAAAAGCAATTAGGAGAGGATATCGATACCGACATTCTACTTTCCTTCTGAAGATGATGTGATTGGTCCCGTGGAAGAGCTGATCAATGAGGAAGAGGAATCTCCCGCTATTTACGGAAACTTTACATATGTTGAAAAGTTTTGGGGCACAACATTTGCAACTGAGAGCTGTATTGACTCTTTCAAAGCTTCCACCACCTAAGATAGTGTACTTTAGAATGAATCAGTCATGACTAGGCCGGTCCTGAGTTCTTGATTGGAAGTAAAAAAAAACCATTTGTGTTGCCATTTCAAGATCATTCATTTTCTTTAAGTAACAAATCTGCTTGGAAAATAAAACAAACTATTCTTGCAACATTTTGAACACATTGGATCCGTCTTTGCACCATAACATTTTTCTATTAATAAATATAAATTTTAGTAAATGCTTATGAGGGTTTTGTCTCTTTATCATAACTCTTGGTTATATTTGTTATTGTTAAAAAATACTTTTTTCAAGACTGTCTGGAATCATTATGGGTTTGATTGGTAACAGCTTTACAAAGTTGTACAAAACATAAAGCTTTGACAGTTACCAATCACAAAAACTTTATCAAAAGCGTTACAAACAATTTTACTCTTAGCTTTTTTGTACAGCTTTCTTGTACAGTTCTTTCATACAGCTTTGCACTATTCTGGTAAATGTTACAGCTAAAAAATTTGTACAGTTTTTAGTTACCAATGAGACCCTATGACTTTTTGTTTGATATTTTCTAGGAAAAAAGATGGCTGGCTACACGAAGTATCCGCGAAGACATGGCCACACATGCAAAGTTTAAAAATGTATCTCTAACTACACAAACTATATGTATCGCATGCCCACATATACGAACTATATGTAGTCATGTCGCCAACATCACAAACATTTTTTTCTGATACATTTTTCGCCGGAATCCGGTATTGACCAGTTTGACCGGCGTTGACCGTCGTTGACCAACATAAATATTCAAAAAAAAAAAATTTTAGTTTTTTAATATTTAGAAAATTATGTTATTGAATCATTTATAATATTATATAATTAAAAAATATATACAATATTCAATATAAAAATATTTTGTATATATATATTCAATGCATTGATTTTTATAATTAGTTAGTTTTGATAATTTCAAAACTAAACTAAAAATAAAATAAAAACCAATTAGGTAAAATAATTGTAAAATGAAATTTTTGTATAATATGTTTTGTAAATATGAAATTTTTGTAAATATGAAATTTTTAGTTAGTTTTGTATAATATGTTGTAAATTAACAACATATTATAAAAACAATTTAGACTAGAGAGTATTTAAAATTTTCTATTTATAATTATTTTACCTAATTGGTTTTTGTTTAGT